CTCACAAARCAGTCTAAGCATACGAGAGCACTGGGTCACAGTCACACCAGCCCCAGCCATGGCAGTATCTAAACCTGCAGATGTCTGAGTGCTGTGAGCTACTGTACAGGATGCCAAAGCATTGTGCCTGCCTACCTTTACTCCCTTTCACCCCAAAATATAAAGCTAAGTTTATACAAATGTGAAATACTCATATGCAGATACCAAGTGGATTTCATTCTCAAGTTTTAAATAAATGTCAATGGTCTAAGCATAAATAAATAAATAAATAAATAAATAAATAAATAAATAAATGGCTGCATGTGTCTGTTTCATTCAAAGCCACATTCGCAATTCAGAAATGTTTGTTGGAGCCATCAGGCTTTTCCCAGCTCTCAAGCAGAAGAGACAATGTACTGTTGGGAAGTCATCTGCCTCAGGTGATGCACTACTGATGGGTGTGTTGCATCTATTAACTGCAACAGCAGTCATTGTCTGAAATTTGGGTCAGTGAGGGGCTCAGCTGCCATCTCACAAAGCTTGTCGCATAAAATCAAGGCACCTTTAGTTCGACCAACTTTGGCAAGAAGTCTGAGGACAGAAAATCTGATCATGAAAAGCTGTAAGACAGTGTCTTTTGGTTGCTCTYTTGGTGTTGATCATTTCTATATCCCAGGAAAAGTTCCCACCATAAAAAAACAAAGTCTCATTTTRAAACAGGATTAATCTTCACATGTACAGGGTTGGTATCACAGAGTTTCAATGTAAACTTTTATTTCCTGGGCAATAAAAGTTCTTATTATCTCCCTGAGGTATTGATAGTCTTTTCATTTTCATTCTCCCAGCAGACTACAGAGCAAATAACAAATGAGTACTTTGATTTTTACCAACTTTTAGTAGCTGCTCTGTTTTCTTAATGCAGAAATTATTACACAGATTGTTGTTTTGGCTGGAGGAATAAGTTCCAACACATTGCAGATCTTTTAACGGGGAGAGTTTGTTCTGGAGACAACCATGTGTCCTGGGAAAGAGATGAGAAAAGATAAACAAAATAAATGAACATTTGGAATGGAAATTGCGAGTTAGTAGCTGTCCAAAGTGGAAAGCAGAATTCAAGTGTATTTCTTTTCATGCATATGCAGTAGTTTGGTATCTTGAATCAAAAGAAAGAGCACAGAGAATCTGCCCAATCTTTCTAGTAACTGCCTGCATGCTCACATCCAGTTAACATTTTCATTTTCAGTTTAAGCAGGAATACTGTAACGAGTGTTAGCCAACCAACAGACAATATATTGCAATGGTTAATTTGATTTATGGTTAATTTTTATCTTTTTTGTTCCTATTACATTTAGATATTCATTTGCTTTCGATTTGAAAATTTAAGAAGGTGTGAGCTCTGCTTTTGGTTAGCTATACAGAGCCATCCTACAGCGCATCACCAGCTGGTAGTATTTTAACATCATAAAAACTAGACTGAGTTACAGCATTAAGGATGGATCCGTCATCCTTTGCATTGATCACAGGTCAGCTGAGGATTTCGCTGGTGTGGGAAGGTGTATGGCTAATGTGAATCAGCAAAGCTGGCCCTACACTGCACCCGCCTGGCCCCCTGCCAGCATCAGAGCCGTGCCTGCTTGAAAGCAAGAGGTCACACTCAGTGCTCTGCTGAAATAAGCCTCCTGTTGGCATAAGGGTCCCTACTGCAGAGCAGTGAAATTCAGTGCAGTCCTCAGGCTCAGCCTGGCAGCAGCTCAGGGCTGTGAAGGCACTTTGTCATTCTCTTCAGGACGTGCTGAACAAATCCTTAGCCAAGCAATGGAAATGAGGCACGTTTCCAAGTCGTGTCATTGAGTTCCAGAGCAGTGCTTGTCAGTAATTCTGTGCGTACTGCTACTCTGCCTTGGTAAGGGATGAGTTTCAATCTGTCCTGGGGAGGGAGGAACTTTTGCAGCTTGAAAAGTACCTGTAACTGCTCTGGCTGAGCCTCAGACTGATTTTTTAGCTCCTTAAACAAATCAAGAGATTAAAAGRAAACGCACTCTCAATCTGTTTAGGCTGACTTTTTGTTCTTCTGAAAAAATATTCCTTTTAAGCAAAAAATTTCTAGAGAAAGTTATAAGGGTAAAAAGACATAGACCTATTTCTTAGTGATGAGGAAGAGACAATAATTTGAGAAGGCACCTTTAMAGGGGCCATTTACTCCCTGTCAATACAGACCTACAATATAGATTTCATTATTAATTCTGAACTATTCCTTTTCTGAAGTCTCTTCTGAGCTTTCTCTTTACACAGTCACTACATGGTTTGTTTYTTTCCACCTCTGCCATTAATCCCTTCTTTAATTTTTAAAAATTCTTTAAAAATTCTGTTAATGTGATTAAAAACATCCCAGGGAACTTTTTTCCTTGCCTTACAACTGAAACCTTCACCATGCACCCAGTTTCCCATGACTGTCTCCTCACATTGTATGTCAGAGCCTCTCCACGCCCCATCTGCCCATATCATCCTCCTCTGCTTCGCTTGCTTTGCCCGAGGCTCTGTGTGCCCTYCCACCTGATCTTTCTTCACATTTTGAGTGCCGTGGATGTGCCTCTCACTCTCAGTTGGTCCTTATGTTCACCCATACTATGTCCCTCCCCAGGCCCCCACCCCAGTCCCCACTGCCATCCCTGCCACCTGCATTTGCTCTCCCCAGTCAGCCCTCAGACTAGGACAGTCTCCTGTTCCTGYTGATGTTTTATTTTCCATCTCACCCACTTACATTCCTAAGCAGCGTGGGATCTGGGTGAAAACAGGGCGTTGGTTTTGCAGTAAATAAATACTTAAACAAACAAACAAACAAATAAATAAATAAATATTTAAGGCTCTCCATGGCTATAAGCGGCAAAGGAAAGGTGAAAATAAAAATACACTTGTCATAATAGAAATCACAGAGGTAAAGTGGCACACAGTCAGAGTAAGGAGGGTTGTCCCGTCCCGCTCGAAAGAGGGAGTCGGGGAGGATTCTTTTAATAAATTTTTTGGACAAAAAATAAAGCGCAAACGCGGCAATATTATATCTGAGAACTGTTTATTGATAAAGAAGGGTAAGTGTTCCTACCACTTCCTACCAAGGGAGGATAGAAAAGAG